AAAAGAAAACAGGAAATAGCACTGTGAAAAATTGCATTAACAACAATATTTGACACATTTGCATATTAACATATTAAAATATATTAAATTGAAGTATTATGGTCAATGCTGTCCTTTACATCTTTGAATCATTTTATTCATTAGCATATTTACAAATGTTGTCATGAAAATAATACATTCATTGATTGAAATTGCACTATCCATTGCCCTTCCCTAATGAGCGGAAAGGGAGGGTACAAATAATTCTTTAGTTTCAGTATAAAGACACTGCTAAACGAACTAGGCAACCTCGGCTGATCACCCACTCCCCCTTGAATTCCATAGATAGAAGATTTTACCAAGAACGTAGCCATAAGCAGAATATGTACAATAAAATGAGCCGCACTCATTTATCTTGGCATACTTTTCAAATATATACGTATGAATATATATTGAAGTATATGAAGTTGAATTAAGCCGTCCAACATATACATACAGTCTTGCCCGCTGCGAATGATGATGGGCGTGTTGGTGGGACTGGATTTTGGTCCACCGCCAGGTGGTTCTCCACCACTTGTTAGAGCTAGTAAGTCATAAGAACTGGTGCAAAACAACTAATACGAAGGATATGATGCAGTTCTGTCGCTTACCAAAAAAGAAAAGAAACATGGTGATCAGGGCACATCATTGGTTGGGGATTTTAGTCGAGTCCATAGACCCCTTTTTTTGGAGGAGGGGTGGTACGACCCCCCTTTACAACGTCCGTGAAGCGAGAAAAATCAACTATCAAAATAAATTTTTCTCAGCCCAAATACGACCCCCTCTCCTGGCGGCCAAATACGACCCCCCCCTATTGGGATTCCCCAACAACGATGTGCCCTGATGGTGATGCCTCGCCAAAACCATTTCCTGACACGCCCCATCATTCGCAGCGGACATACTATAGGGCCCTTCTTTCAACCCTACTCTTCTGCCCTCAAACTTCACTAGTAAAAATATTATAAAAAATTCATAGCTACAAACATAGCATATAAAATCAGATAAACTACTCCATTGATATTGGCAAAGTCAATCCCGATATGTATAAGCATATGTAACTGAACTAAGCCGTCCATTCGTCAAAGTACTCGTTCTACTTACATTTCAGTAACAATCAGAGAATTCACAGAATTTATTTACCATTCCGTGATTGTGAGAAGTCCTTTACCAGAGGCACCCGGGTGCCGATTATGAACGCCATCCCCTCAAAAGGCTCCGAAGAAGGCAATACTGCCGAAACGTCAGTCTGGTAAAGGACTTATAACAATCTCGGATTGCTAAATAAAGTTCTGTGAATATTGCTGTCATCATGCCGAGATTAATGGAGAGTCGATCATGGAATCAGAGAATTATGCTCGCTTGTCTTGGAAGAGCACTTCTGACGTTGATGTGTTTGTTCTATCCTGGTGCTAAGACAAGGAATGTATTGGGATCGATACCATTCTTTAAATAGCACCGGATATAGCAAATACAACTCATGAATACCACAATAGGACAGCGTGGAGTGCAGTGTTACAAAGACAGAGTCGACTTTTTTAATTCATTTATCTCCCATTAGGTTCAGTCTGCGCAATTTTAGTTATTTATAAGAAATTCTGGTATTTATATCCTCGCAGATAGTTGCATTACAGACAAGGTTGTAATGGTTATGCTCATAACGTAGAAAAATCACACAGAACTATGATCATAATGGGTTGGAGTACAATAGGCAGCAATTTCTAAACGACGTTTATTGAGGATAGAAGCGACATAAACACAAATTAAATAAAAAATATTTGCTTGCCAAATTTCAATATTATTTTTCATGAATAGGAAAGGAGGCCATTACACGGAAAAGAAATGAAATATCAACCTTACTTTTGTTAAGAATGCTTGCTGAAAAATGCGTATGATTGTCGCCGATCTAACAACTCAATAATAATAATAGCGCTAGTCATGATTTCTCTTTGGGAAACTCAATGGTCTATCGTGGAGCTGCAATGGATTCTAGTCCTTTGAAGTGTGCTTCCATCGATTTTTTTTTGCTTGGGCTTTCATGATGGGCTTCCCCGTCACGTGGGAAAGCGTTTATCATGGCGGGTAACGAGCCACCCCTAAGGTTGTCGCCACAAAAAAAGATACGTAACTACCGATTGTGACAGCATACTGTAGATGACTTCCCCTACCTGGGAGTAAATGAGAAAATTCCTGGAAAATGGGTGAAGATATAAGAACTTGGCAAGGTGGAATGGAAAAGGGGGACGTTGCAGGGTAGTAGATCAAAAAACGAAAAAACCAGTCTTCTCCCACATGAATTTTCTCTTTAGATATTTCAGTTAAAAGGGGAGATATTCAACAAATTATTGGGAGCCGACAGAGAAGAAACGAGTACGGCTCTGTTCTCGTACGGTTCTTCAAATGGACATTGAGCAAATAACAATAACTACTCTCTGTGCTTATCAGTATGGGAAGGAAGGAACAACGAACAGCAACGAAGGTAGTCACTGTAGCCTGTTGATACGAGGGGGGGGGGGGCATTTTGCAGTCCAAGCCACCTAGACAGCTCCTTGATGAGCAAGACAAGTTTGACGGGTTCTACCATGGTGGCGAGATGGCTTGCTCCAGCTTCACAAGAGTTCACAGGTTTCACCAGAGCGGAACTTGTGAACCGGAACTAGTAAAGCAGTGAAAGTACAAAATGCCCCCCGTCGCCGAACAGCGCCGTGTACTTCTATAATATCGCTGCTGTTCATGTTCAACCCTTCACAAAGGTGAGGGGCAAGGAAAGGAGGGGCATAGCCATGTATTCATTATGCTGCGATTGAAAGCATCTGAACATGGTCTTCTCGAAGCGCCCATTCAGACCTACCATACGCTTGTTAGTCCATGAGAAATGTTCATCGTTATGTAGGAATGACAATGATTCCAAAGGAAAGCATCCGAGCCAACAGCCCTTTTCAGTGACCATTAAGCTTGTGGATGCCATTCAACCGCATATTCCACGCTGGTTGAATGGCTGAGATGGGATTATCATTGAGCCACGCTTACTGGCCGTCCGCCCTACTGACCCAAAAAGTAGGGTATTTTCGTGATGAAGGCACGAAAGGCACAGTGGTAGGTCCAGTTTAAGACTAGTCTGGAATGTCCACTTGAACGCAGAGTCTGCCGTTCTCACGAGCAGTGGGGTTGGTAAATGTAAATGTGAAAGTGCTAGGTGACTCAACATTCGAGAAAGACGTTTAAGAAAAACTCCAAAGTAATCTGAGTAACACTCTCGTCGCTTCAAAGCATAATATGAAAAGAGAAACGGACGATGATAGGGCGAGAGAGTACAGAGAGATACTGACAGTTCACCGTTTATTGACGATGATAAGACGAAATGAGAGAGAATATAAATATATGAAGGGCCGGCACTGCTCATGCGGTTGCATACCGCGCGACGAAGGTCAAGTAATGGTAAGTAAGTATATTTTGCTTATCGCGGACCACTGTTCAGGAATTATTGCTATGATTCCTGAAAACTGTAGAGCGTCTGAGGGGTGTTGGTTAGACCATAGCTAAAAAAAGCCAGGCCTCCAATTGTGTCTATCGGGAACAGGTACAGCATGGGGGATGTGCGAAATGTCGGTGTGAGTACGACCCCCCCCCTCCCTTCACCTCCACGGCTTTTTCTCGCCGACGACGAGCGATGAGTATATAGTCGGCGAAAAAGTCTCAGGCAGGGGGGGGGGGGGGGTCCACAAGAAAAAATCAGCTATCAAAATAAATTTGTCCTTACAAATACGACCCCTCCCCAGAGCAAAAAAACTAAGACCTCCCCCCATGGGTTTGACACAACGATGCTGTACCCTGCTCATGGATGGCATCAGTGATGCAGAGACCCCTGAAAGCGCTGCAATCCACGCCTCGTAGCACGCCCTATCGTCTGGTCGGCTCGACTTTACCGGAGCTTTTGTTCCGGCGCTGCAGAAATAACCTTTTTCAATTAGCTCATCGTTCTTCAGCTTTCTTGCCATTAGACGCCATTTGATTTCTTATTGGTGCCTTGACGTGATAGGTTTAGAGAATCAATTAGAAAGCCCCGCTTCATCGCAGCGAGTTTTTCACTGAAAGGCAGTGCACCGTGTAAAAATACCGGAAAAAAGTTTACGGGCGGCTCGTGAAGAAGGTATTATTTGACTGCAGATGTTATGTCTTACACTGGTAAAATCTCGGAGAATTACAAAGATAAAACACCGGGCTCAGGGCGGTGGATTAGGCGCAACACAATAAGGATTATACAATAGTCCCGTCGGATAAAACGTCTTAACAATTGAGGGGAGAAGCGTCGGCTGGTCTTCAGCGAATTGTTCCGTATGTTGAACAGTAAGGCAACATGATTTCACTGTGTTAAAACTTTGACGAGCTAATTAAAAGAGTTTTTAGTTGGAATAAAATAAATCAAAAGCTTTCAAGCAGCTGTAGTCTATTGGAGATGAAGATCTCGATGAAAAAAAGAAGATCCCGTTATTTATTTTGCAAAAACAGAGTTTGAACGAAACTAATAACGGACTTTCATTTTTCTCTCATTTTTTTTTCTATATTTTCAGATGTTGTTTAGTTTGTTACTCGACCGAAAAACTACTCGTGTCATCCACAGGAAGCCTTCCAGCAAAGAGTGAATCGACTTAAGATTGCGCGCAGTTGAGAAATGAAGAGTAGCGAGATAAATGCTAGAGGACCAAAGAATCGGATTACATGAGGCAAACACAATAGTCTAGAGAATCAATCAGCGGGAACACTGAGAAGTAAAACC